CTTGGTCTGTGAGTGTGAGTGTGGGTCTGTGAGTGTGGGTCTGTGAGTGTGGTCTCTGGGTCTGTGAGTGTGGGTCTGTGAGTGTGGTTCTGGGTCTGTGAGTGTGGGTCTGTGAGTGTGGTTCTGGGTCTGTGAGTGTGGGTCTGGGTCGGGGGCATTATTCTGTTCTTCATACAGTCAGAGAGCAGCTCTCATGTGCTCAGTTCCCCATTACACAAAAATGTAGGGCAGATTTTGGTTCGGGGTCAGGTTCGGGCAGTAGTCTTCGTGTTGTCCGCAGACTCGGGTCACTCTGCCGCTCGGTGCGTAAAGACTAAAGTAAAAGTGTTAAAGTTGCGTTCATTAAATCAAAGCCTGGCTCCTACAGTGTCCAAGGGAAGAGTTTTTCTCTCAGGTCGGGTCATTATTTCGTCCTCTGTGTTGGTCACAGACTGTGTTTTGTAGAAGTCTATGGTCGTGGTGTGGACTGTGGGACTCTGCGCTGCACCGAGTCCGGGAACGTGGCCGCGCTCGTGCACGAGTGTCAAATGTATAATATTGTGGAGAATAAAGAGTGGAATAAACAGCCCTGCTCCTTGTTTTGTGAACCAAACACTTAAATGCGCAAATCTGAAGGTCATTCTTCTATATACGTGGATTTCTGATCAAACACTTCCTCAAACTCTGTTCACTTCTGCTTCTCTCCACGAGTGTCGCTTTTCCCCCGTGTCTCCAGACTTTGCGTAGAACTTACAGGAGGTCCCGAGTTGGTGTAGAGTTAAGCAAAGAGCCACGCCTTAGTCGAGTTTTATAAATACTGCAGTTGGCGTAGGAAGCGCGTACGCACTGATTTTTGCGTAAGCAAGCTTTATATATGAGGCCCCAGGTCTAAACCAGGACTAAAACCAGGTCTAAACCAGGACTAAAACCAGGTCTAAACCAGGACTAAACCAGTACTAAAACAAGATTTAACAGGACTAAATCCTGCTGCGCGGACCGTGTCTCCTCGTCTTCTATCAATAATATTTTTAATTTGGTTCAGTAAAGTCTGGGCTTTTCATTTTCTTTTAGCAGACAAAATATCTTATGTGAAGATTTCCTCGTCTTTGCTTCTCTACAGCAAATCAAGTAATCCAAAGTATTCAGATTACATTACTTACTTTAAGTACCTTACTGGATTACGTAACAAACTACATTTTGGTGTATGTAATCTGTAATCTGTAGGGGAATATTTTAAAAGTAACCTTCCCAACACTGAATACAGGACCTTTAAACATGTGTTAAGTCTTCATGTTGTAGTTGGGACATCAAACTTTAGATGAATGTGCGCACAAAAACATAGGAGCAGTCATAAAATATTTCAACAGAAGAGCAAACCAGGGCTGTTCGTGTTGTAAAGTACATGAACGCAGCTCTTCCTCTGACTGACACTTTGAGCGTTTCTGTATTTTTCTCATTTTCTCTCTCGCTCTGTAACAGTGAATTATTGAGCTGAAGCTTGTGTGAGGCTCACAGCACACACAACTCTCACACAACGAACAAAAGAGGAGAGCTTTTCACTTTCAGGACGGTTTCAGTGTGACGTCTGCCTGTGGGAACAACGCCGCTCCAGTTTAAAGAGAAACAGAGAGGTCACGATCTGCATGTAGGTCTGCAATACGCAGTTCCTTTCACTTCTACATATATGTTTGAATTGGGATTTTCTGTGCTCACAAAAATGAAAACAAAGAACAGAAACAGACTGAACGCTGCTCCTGATCTGCTGCTGCGTCTCCTCCCGCACCCGGACTGAAACACACTACAAAAACACAGACAGGTCGACCTATCTCACTAGAAATGTTGACATGTTTTGTATAATTTCTAATCTTTTTGTCATTATTTTATTGACTGTTTTGTTCCAATATTGCTGGTTCAATTGAATGTTGAAAAAAAAAAAAAGAAATGAGCTACATTTAATGTCCAAATAGGCGAATTATGGATCCTTTTATTGCTTTTTCAAACTCAGTCAACAATAAAATATCCTCATGAATGTTCAGTTTTAATAATGTTCAGTAGTTTGTGATTTATGATTAATGTCTAAAGGTCTCTGAAGGTTTGTGATGTTTAAAATATGGGTCACCAACACCTGTGATTAAAAAATGTATTACTTGCAAATACATATCTCATATCTACAAAATATTACAAGATGCTACCACAGAGAACACACTACATATTAAGGAGAAATGGGAATTAGAAATGAAAACAATAATTAAGGATGAGGACTGGGATCGGACACTTCGGGAGGGATACAAAATTCCAAACAGCCCAGTACTAAGAGAGTTTGAATGGAAAACTAAAATTCGATTCTTTAGAACTCCTTTTATTACATGTCAGTTTGGTGGAACCTCAGATAAATGTTGGATTGGCTGTGGTCTGGTGGGGGATCATTCCCATATAGGCGAGTTTCATTGTTGACAAACGCTCTCGTTGCATGCTGGGAATTATTTTGGTCGGCGGCAAGAAACACTAATTCAACATGACGGACGGAGCGAGAAAACACGTAAAGGGTATTGATCCTGGTTATTTATCCACTCTAACGGCAGAGGACCCAAGACCATTTGACCAGAAATTGGTCATAAGCATCGACGGACGACAAATCACCCTTTTCAACCCCGACAGAGCCTGGACCAAACCAAATTTCTGGTCAGAATCACCAACTACCTGGACAAATATTCACTTTGGTGATATCCACAATGACTTGGTGGAAACTCCTGGGCCATTCACAGCAGAAAAGATGAAAACCTCCAAGAGTCTCGATGTGTTGTTGAACTTGTTGGAGTCCACGGTTTGTTAGGATCTTCTACGTTCTGCGGATGTTTGAAAGGCGTTTAATTCACCGTTAGTGGTTCTTTTCACTCAGAATATGAAAAAGACATTTTCCTTCTTCCGTGCTTCTATTTGTGCATCCGATAATGCAGCAGGAATTTACCATTATTGGGGATAAATACGCGAGGTTACGTACTGTGTTTGACTGCTATCATGTTTCTTGCCTCTGACCAAAATATTTCCCAGCATGCAACGCAGGCTTTTAATAACAATGACGTCAGCTGAAACTCGCCTATATTCTGGGACTGTCCTAAACTGGCAACATCTTGGAGGGACGTGCAATGCAAAACTGAAAACTGTTTGGGGATCAAAATTATATTCACTAGCTAGGACCACGCCAACGACAACATAGTGCGAAGTAGTTTATTGATAATGTACAAAGCGAGGCAAAGATGGCTGGGTTGAGACTATGGGTGGTGGCTCCGTCTCAATCTACAATTGGCCCAGCCGGAACGGGACCCCCCTTGTAGGGGTCTTATGACTGAAAGACAAAATAGGGGATGGGAGGGTGGGGTCGAGTTCGCCGAGACAAACTGGGATGATGGGAAAGGCTGCTACATATAGGCTTCTGGGAAATTAGAGGCGTGGTCGAGGTGAGTTGTGGTTCGCCGGTGAGAGGAGAGGGCGGCTGAGGCGTGGTCCTGCTCCTGAATCTCAGTTAATCGTATTAACTACATTTAGAGTCATGTTTTGTGCTGTTGGGAATTTTTCCAAATGACTTCAGAGCAAATAGCTATTTTCATTTGCTGAAAATTTGACTCTTAATTGCCAAAAAAATGAGAACAGTCTCCTGACTCAGGCCGCTGCCCCCCACAATGACCCAGTGGAAAAATAAAATAAAAGGTGTGTATCTTACGGAGCAAATAACTGCAAGGTTACAAATGAAACAGATTTATTCATGGACAAATGGTCTTCAGTTCAGGCCTATATTTTAAAAGGATGACTATCTTTATTTTTCCTGTTATGTTGTAGTGTGTGTGTTGTATATTATGAATGATAAATGAGGAGACAATGTGTATGACTGTATTTATACTGTAACTTTATTGTCATTTTACTTGTATTGCATTTTTACTGCTGTTTCATAATTATGTGGCTTGCACCAAAATTTGTTAATAAAAATAAGTAAAAAATAAAATAAAATAAAATTAAATATGGGTCACCAGAAAAAAAGTTTGGGAAACACTGGTGTAGTGGGTTCAGTGTTGGGGAGTAACAGATTACATGTACTGGAGTTACGTAATCAGAGTACAAATTATGAGTAACTGTATTCAGTTACAGTTACTGTTTCAGTGAGTGGTAATTGGATTACAGTTACTTTGTTGAAATAAATGGATTACACAGAAGTATTTTCCTGTTTTTACATTTTGGGCTAAACCAGGTCTAAACCAGGACCAAACCAGGACTAAACCAGGACTAAAATCAGGACTAAACCAGGACCAAACCAGGACCAAACCAGGACCAAACCAGGACTAAAATCAGGACTAAACCAGGACTAAACATTATGACACTTAACAGGAGGTGGGCATAAGGCAGCAGTGATCTCATATAAAAAATAATTTCTCTATCAGTAATATTTTTTAATTTGGTTAAGTAAAGTCTGGGCTTTTTTATTTTCTTTTAGCAGATAAAACATCTTATGTTCAGATCCTCGTCTTTGCTTCTCTACAGAAAACAAAAGTCTCTTCATTTAGACTTGGGCTCAATTTGAAGAGAACAAACAACAATTTTCAGGATGTGGTCGCTATATTCATGTCGTTTTAAAAAGCATGACAATATTAAGTAATCCAAAGTATTCAGATTACGTTACTCACTTTAAGTAATTTAATGGATTCTGTTACAAACTACATTTTGGGATATGTAATCTGTAATCTGTAGGAGAATACATTTTAAAAGTCACCTTCCCAACACTGAGTGGGTTAAAAGCATCTGCCTTTCAGCTGGAAGGCTGAGGTACAGTTAGAGTTTGTCTGTTTATGAAGCATGAAGGCTTGATCACACAGACACACAGGAGCATTTCCTCAGTAAGCAGCAAGAGCAACAGAACATTCTGTGCTCTCGAGAAGGGGACAACCCCAACACACAGGACACATGTTTAAAAGAACAGAGCTTGAGGTTTCAGCATGGCAATCCAGGATGTTCAACAGTGTGTGACTGACCTCGAGAGGTGAGGTGGGCCACATACGGCACTCCGTCCTTCTCTCCGTAGTACACGCCAAAGTGAGAGAAGTACTTGTTCCTAGGGTACTCGATGATGTCACCAGGGTACACAGTAGGGTGAGAGTGCTTCTGCAGAAGAGACACAGTACAGAGAGTGAAACAGAGTCAGCATTATGATAGGTCATGGCTAATATGATTTAAAAGATCATGTTCTGTTGAATGTTTTGTTTCTTATGAGAAACCTGAGAAATGTTCAACATCTTCAGGTAATAGATCGACACCATTCACCATTTTTCCTTCAGTATTTAAACATAAGGGTCGTCTTGAGGCTGCACTTTAGAACTCTATAGCCAGTGTTGGGAAGGTGACTTTTAAAATGTATTCCCCTACAGATTACAGATTACACACACCAAAATGTAGTTTGTAACAGAATCCAATAAATTACTTAAAGTGAGTAATGTAATCTGAATACTTTGGATTACTTGATTTGCTGTAGAGAAGCAAAGACGAGGATATTGTAACATAAGATGTTTTGTCTGATAAAAGAAAATGAAAAGCCCAGACTTTACTTAACGAAATTAAAAATATTATCGATAGAAGACGAGGAGACATGGTCCACACAGCAGGATTTAGTCCTGTTAAATCCTGTTTGAGACACAGTTTAGACCTGGTTTAGTCCTGGTGTAGTCCTAGTTTAGACCTGTTTTTAGACCTGGTTTAGTCCTAGTTTAGACCTAGTTTAGATCTAGTTTTAGACCTGGTTTAAGACCTGGTTTAGACCTGGATTAGTCCTGGTTTAGTCCTAGTTTAGACCTGGTTTAGTGTCCGGCCAGGAGTGGAATTACCAAAAAAAAAAAGGGATATAGCCAAAAATGTGAAAACAGGAAAATACCACAGTGTAATCCATTTATTTCAACCAAGTAACTGTAATCCAATTACCACTCACTTACACAGTAACTGTAACTGAATACAGGTACTTATAATTTGTACTCTGATTATGTAACTCTGGTACATGTAATCTGTTACTCCCCAACACTGACTATAGCATACAGAATAAAAAAAACCCTTCCAAATATGTCCAATTGTATTTGAGTTTAGTTTATTTAGTTTAAGAATGATTTAAGATGATGCACCCTGCTGACTGCTGCTCGCTGCTCCAGACCGAGGGCCCCAGTGGTGCTGATAAATGAGTCAGCGTCAGATATTTTCCAGTGTCAATATTTTCATTCTTCTCTCCTTTTATCTCATCATGACATGCTGTATATTTGTCCTCATAACATTATTGGATAGAATAGAAGAGTTAAAGTGACTTACGAGCCCCATGTGGAGTCTGGAGAGTTCCTCTGCAGTGAAGCCTGAACCACAACAGCTGTGAGACTGTATCAGAGCTGCAGTTACACAAGAGCGAGTCTCCAGCCCTGCCCACAGACTCGCTCCACCAGCGTTATTACACACCTCCTGCCCACAGACCTGCTCCACCAGCCTCATCTACACACTTCCTGCCTCATCTACACACCTCCTGCCCAGAGACCTGCTCCACCAGCCTCATCTAGACATGGTTCACACATAACAGCTAAATTATGTTTTGTAGCTGATGTTGTCAACATTTTTTGGAAGTGTGAAGCTGCAGATTCTAATCTATTAGAAGCTCTGTTACTCAAGTCTTTAATCTAAGTGTTATTTTAACACAGTCTGACCACAAACATCTGACTTGGATGGATCTACAACAGATGTAGAACACCCCCAGCGTGATTCAGAAGCTACAGGCCAGGTGTGGGGGCACAGTACAGTCACTGTTCACTATAAGCTACACCTCCAGTCAGGTACAGGTGAAGAAAACCTTTAAAGGAAACCTAAGCAGACACAGGGAGAACATGCACACTGCCCAGGCCTCCAGGGTCAGGAGCTTGGAGAGGCGTCTGGCTGCAGACGTATGGACAAGTAGAGCTCCACTCTAGAACAGAAACACATGACCTCCGCTTTTATAAATGAGGAAGTACATATCATACATCTGGATCTTTATTGTGTTTGTTGACTGAATTCATTATTATCTCTTGTCAGGTGAAATAAAGTGGACCAAAGTTTTATTCAGCTCCAGGCAGGAGTACAGGACGATGTCACCATCAGCGCCTGTCGTAGTCTGACATGTGGACAATTGTTTAAAGACTGTGGGGCTGGTTACCATGGCAACAGCCAACACGGAGCTGTGAGGATTTGACTCCTCCCATGATCAACCCGGCACCTGCAGCTGTAACTGTTTTTGAAATGATGGAGGCCTGGAGCAGTAAGGCTTGATTTGTTTGATCATTGTTAATTGATTAATTGTCAAGTAGTTAATGTTCAGATGTTTGGTTTATCAGTTGTTAATCGGTTTATAATCAGTTTACCATTAATCACCCAATAGCATTATCATTGTTTATCAGTTGTTAATCATTTTATTAGTCATTAATCAGTTAATACTTCAAATAATGAAGTGTGAATAAGAGTAATAAGTGATAAGAATAAGAGTAAATAAATAAGAGTACATAACTGATGTCTATCAGTGTGTGTTCTAGGGCTGGGTATCGTTAAGAAGTTGCCGATACGATACATACCTTGATACATAGTCCACAATACGATACATATCTCGATACATCTCGATACAATACACTTTCATTTTGATATGATATATTTCAAATTGATTTGATACGGTTCAATAAAAAAGGCTAAATCATGGCTGTGACACTAAAAGTCTTTGTTAAACCACTTCTTGTGCAAAGTTAAAATGAAACACAAACATTTTAATCATAAAAACAGTGAAAATGTCAAATCTGTCACATGAACAAGTTTCCTTCCACCAAACAATTGACAAAACTGTAGCTCTGCGACAAAATAATTGAGTGAAATACACCAAAATATACTCTTGGTGACATATCGATACAGCAGCCCACAATATTGATTCTGTATCATCAAGTTAAGTGATACGATATATCGATATTTTGATATTTTTGCAGAGCCCTAGTGTCTTCTATTTGTTCTGCTGCCGTCTTGGCCTCAGCTGGATCCCACTTGTAAAGGGAAGATTTATTCATCTCAGTGGGAATATTCACGTCTATGAGGTTAATCATTGCAAGAATAAACATGAAATGAAAAAAGAAGGGGATATTTTATATGATTTGAAGCAATATCAGTGAGTTGCATTAATCGCTCTGTGCTCCTCGTCCCACAGATATTAAAATAATTTTGCAGAGGTGGGGATATCAAAACCAGAAGGGGAAATCCACCCTACAAATCACACTCTGAATATATGAGCCAACAACTTCCTGAACGTAAAAAACATTTTATGAACTACACTACACACAATCTTATTTAATCAATATTTACTTCCTCATTTATTAAAGTGGAGGTGACATGTTTCTGTTCCAGACTGAAGCTCCACTCTGCCTTTCGTCTTCAGCCAGAGCCTCTCGGGAGTTTCTGTGAGCCTGTGCAAGATGAAGTTTGGGTATTTTGTTTATATGATGAAATGATCTGTGCACATTTGTCTAGGCGTCTATCATTTTGAAGCAGTTCCTCTTTCAAAGCTTCTGTTGAGGAAACACCTGGTACATTTGCCTTCTGAGAAACACTGGGGCTGCCCACTCTTCATCATTTCCCTTTTATCACTTTAGGGCGCAGCGCTCTGAGGGCTCGCCCATCATGTTCTGACTAAAAACACTCCCCACATGGCATAGGCCCGGCACACACGGCATAAGCCCGGTACACATGACATAGGCCTCGTTCACATGGCATAGGCCCGGCACACACGACGTGTTTCTCACTCCACTGAGACTGTTGTGGCACATGGATCCATAGGTCGGTTTGAATCATCGATTACCAATTCAAGTGGAACTAAACACTTTTTTTCACTATTGAACTATGTAGCCCACATTTTGTTTTCTTTTTTCGATGTAGCTACATTTGCAGCTTTGTGTTGGTACAGATTACATACAACATTACACAATTATTAGGTCTACAGTACACCTGTCTGCAGGGGCAGAGTTTCAGATGTGAATACTTGTTAGACCAATCACAATGTTCCTTATAGCTCTAAACCCCGCCCCTCTTCTTACTCTTTCTTTTCTTTTTATCTTTTTTTTTTGGGGGGGATTTTCTTATTGGATCATTTGTGGCAAACAAAAACAAAACATAAACCACGACTACATGGGTCATGACAGGAAGAGTCCGAGCTGAAACAAAGGTACCAAACGCATGAACAACAAGTTTGTATTCACAACTCCACTCACTGGACATACAAGAGACAAAATATAAATTAAAAACAAACACAACTCAACGCACAATTCATCAACTCCAGAGCTCCATATTTTCCAAAACACAACAGTCTATACTCTTTTTAAAAAATTTCTACAGTGTTGTCATTGCTCCCATTATTTTACAAACCAAAATCTCTAACAGAAATACAATCACTCCCCCCCCCCCAAAAAACTGTATTTTACAGTTTTTTTGGGAAATATATATCATTGTTTTTATAAATCTATAAGCCAAAGCCAAGCAAACCTAAACACTCTGTGCCCCTTTTTTTTGGACCCTCACCCACAGTTTGAGAACCCTTCTTTAAGAGAACTTGGCACAAAAGTGAAGAAAATGAGTAACTAACTGGAGTTCTATTCTCTTACTGGTTTTGCGGTGGGATTTAACAGCCTCTGCACATTTACCAAATACAAATACAGATGCATTTGTGCACTTTTATCAGGCAAACGTCAGCCACACGTCACGCTAGGCCTGCTCTGTGCTGAAACTAATTTCGGTCAATTTTTGCTTCACATTTCATCTTGTTCTTCCAAGGGCGTAGGTTTGGTCTCTGCTTTGGTGGGGACATTATCAGCTCATTAAATGAACTGTATGCATCCTGCGCTCTTACTGTTGGTGCCAAAAATAACCAAAAGGTGGAGCCAAAAAAAGTACACAGAAATCATTTTGATAAAACTGGTCCCATACAACAAAGAAAGGCTCACATCTAATCATACTGACACTCCAATTTACAAGCTGAGCCAAGCGGTGACGTGACTCAACTCAAACAAAATCTCTCCCTCATCTACTAACAAGCCCAAAACTGAACATAAATCCCAAGAAAGCTACTTTTAGTGCTCAGAAACCAAAGGCAATAAACAGGCAAGCGAATGGAAGTGGACGATGTAAAACCATAAACCAAGTAAGAGTGCACAACTTACAGAACCAAAAGTTAAAAGCAACAAATGTAAAACATACCAGAACTTACCAAACCAAAATCTATAACCAAACAAAACTAAGTGAACTACTTATAAACAGTGACACTCAGTTAAAGTGAAGGTACCAGTTTACACAATAACCAAACCAACAGGCTCCATGAACAGAACCTGCAGGATCAGAAGACTGTGGGTAAACTCCAAAAACAAAAGGCCAAACAAATGGTGACAACAATCTAAAGACCACACAATCAAAAGTGGACCTAACGGAGTATACCAAATGTAAATGGAAACAAAATGAGCACTAAAAACTATAAACTTCACCAAATAAACATGTGGAACTCCCAAACAAAAGTAGTTAGCACAAGCTACTGCTCCTACTTACCAAAGTATGCTAAACAGATGATCCTTATCACCTACCAGACAAAGCACAGACAAAGATCAACCACGAGCACCCATTTACCAAAATAAAACTTTAGCTTAAGCAAAAACATGAGTCTTGATCCCAGACGAGCTGAACTGGCTCAGGGTTCAGACAAGATGGAGTCCACACATGTTTAAAAAGGTTTACAAAATAGTATTTATTAAAAACAGGAGGCAAACAAAGTTGTAGCCACACGGTGAAGAGGAGAGAGGCGCAGTCTGCAGCAGCAGCTGTTAAGGTGGAGGCCACACCCACAATCAGGTGCAGCTCATTAGGTTGGGCCAAACACTCTGGAACCTGGAGGGGAGGGAGGAGAGGGGGGCAGCAGCACAATAATAATTTAAATTTTTGACAAATAATTTTTGTCAAGTGACACTGTCAATGCAAAATCATAAATCATCACCAAATGTTTATTTATTGATTAGTTTTGTTTAAACAGAAAATCTTTTCCATCCTGGTGTCAGATGAGATTCCTGTGATCGAGCAGCACTCTGACAGAAGAAGACGTCATGCAGGTCAAGACTGAGGTGATATTCACTATATTCGGGATTATTTCCTACTGAATCTATTGTCAGAACCATTTCACGTCCTCCATGAATCCACAGTCCACCTTAAACGTGCTGATGTTTGATGCTGTGAGCTCTACTGGTCTCTAGAACTTTGTAGTGGGTGTGTTGCTGACCACAGATGTGTGACTGGCTCCTGGATCACCGAGTGGACACAAAGATGAAGGGGAAAAGGTCCATGATGTGTTGAAGCGCCTGCACCTGGCCATGTCCAACAAGAGGGACAAGAAGGTCAGGCCCCACTAAAGCTGCACTAGATATCACAAAAGAATCAGAATCACTGTTTGAGCTGGTAGAATTATTACAAAGACTGCAGTTATTTAGATAGAATATCCTCAGGAAAGAGCAAAACATCTTATTATCCTGTCCACATGTTCTAAAATTCAGTTTATTAGTTCATTTTAACATTTCAGTCTTGTTTCAAAAGTGAAACAAGCCCGACGCTCTCACAGTCTGCTGAAGAAACTCAAATGTGAGGCCTCCGAGCCCCCAACCTCCAGAACCAGAGCACCCAGACCTCCACAGGACAAGTCTGGACTCAGAGACCCCAAAGTAACCCACATACAGACTCATATCAGCAGCAGGATTTTCTCAGGCCTAAAGAGGGTCTGGTCAGGTCAGTGCCACCCTGACCCTGCAAACTCCGCCTGTGGTTAATTCTATACTTACTCAACAGGTTCATTTTAACAGTATAAATGCATTTACAGTGTTGGGGAGTAACAGATTACACTGTACTGGAGTTACATAATCAGAGTACAAATTATGAGTAATTGTATTCAGTTACAGTTACTGTTTGAATGAGTGGTAATTGGATTACAGTTAATTAGTTGATATAAATAGATTACAGAGGTATTTTCCTGTTTTCACATTTTGTACTATTCCCTTTTTTTCCTTTTTCCTTTTTTTTTTCAGTAATTCCACTCATTGCCAGACACTACACCAGGTCTAAACCAGGTCTAAACCAGGTCTAAACCTGGTCTAAATCTGGTCTAAAACCAGATCTAAACTTGGTCTAAACTTGGTCTAAACTTGGTCTAAACCAGGACTAAAGCAGGACTAAAGCCAGGACTAAATCAGGTCTAAACCAGGTCTAAACCAGGTCTAAACGAGGACTAAACAAAGACTAAACCAGGACTAAACCAAGTCTAAACCAGGACTAAAACCAGGACCAAAACCAGGACCAAAACCAGGACTAAACTAGGACTAAAACCAGGACTAAACCAGGTCTAAACCAGGATTTAACAGGACTAAATCATGCTGAGTGGACGTGTCTCCTCCTCTTCTATCAATAATATTTTTAATTTGGTTCAGTAAAGTCTGGGCTTTTTATTTTCTTTTATCAGATAAAACATCTTATGTGAAGATTTCCTTCAAATCAATTAATCCAAAGTATTCAGATTACATTACTCACTTTAAGTAATTTAATGGATTACATTACAAACTACATTTTGGGGTATGTAATCTGTAATCTGTAGGGGAATACATTTTAAAAGTCACCTTCCCAACACTGTGTATTTAATAGTTGGGCTTTCAATTATGAGCCAAATAATTGTGATTTTTATTTGTGCCACAATCAGCTACTTCTCTGATTTAAATTTCAAAACAAAAACATCCAAATGCTCATCCCACATTCATTTGGTTTTTTTGTTTGCATCCCTATTTTATACTAACATTTAGACCTATTAAAAAACAAACATTAATGGATGATTCTACTCAGATCAGTGCAGCAGTGTGTCATGACAGTCGGTTCTTACTTCTTATCTTTTCCTGTGTTCCAGATGATTTCACAACTTTCCATGGGCCAGTGCTGTGTGTAAAATCCCCCAGTCGTCCAGGTAGAATCCACGGCAAAGGAGAAATTCAATTTATCAACTGGACAAAAAAATATTTTGGTCGAATACGTTTCATGACTCATCCAAGCTGCTTCTTCAATATTCATTTTATTGTAATCATTAAAATTGACATATAACCCAGCAATACTAGACTGAACTATTACTATTACTATTACTATTACTATTACTATTACTATTATATTCAAAATCATACACTACATTATTTCTTGTGATTAACAATACAGAAAACCTTTTACTTTTTTAAACTTACTTTTACATTTTATTATTATTTTTTTTTAATACTAACATTTAATAGAAATAGAACTTTTCTCCATTGGTTTGGCTCATTTATTGAAACAGAAATCAAATCAAATCAAATCAAACTTCATTTATAAAGTGCTTTTCATACAAAAATGTACCACAAAGTGCTTTACAGTGATTAAAAACAATCCCACACTTCCATCCACCCACCCACCAACCCAACCCCCACACCTGCCGAAATGACATTCTCAGAATAACATGGACAAATCCCCAAACTATCTTGCAGTCGTTCACAGCAGAATGACATTTCTCATTGATTTCCTCAAGTTGTAAATGTCTTAGTGCATGTGTCAAGTGTCTCAGTGCATCTTTGCACATGGTTCTGTACAGTTCACCTACAGTTAACACAATGAGCCACATTTAGCACATTGTCCAAATAAATAAATCTTGCTGATCTAAACTGATGAGTTGATTCTCAGTCTGATGGTTGTTCTCTCCAAAACATGTCAGCATCATTTCATCATCTGAGTCATCATCTGCACAACAGTCTGTTCAGTTGTCAAAATTAGTCAAGAACAAAATACCATGAACACCATATATGATTTTTTGGGGGGTAACATTTGATAAATTGATGACAGTATTTGTCAGTCAGGTGAAATTAGAACTTCCTCTCACATTATGTGATCATGTGGGACAGTGTGAATTTCCACTGTGGCTCATCAGGGTCTGGTTCACTCCACATCCAATGATGCTCATGGAGCTACTACCACCAGACTCTCATTTCCTCAATCCAATTGAGGAGTTTTTTCCATGTGGAGGTGGAGAATGTATGAACATCGGACTCAAGCCCAGAGGTCCCTGCTCCATGGACTGGATGCTGCGTGTGAGGACATCACAGAGGAGGGGATGGTTGAGACATTTGCGTGTTTCTTCCCTCACTCTGACGACCAGTAAAAGTGTTACTGTAGAAACTTTATTTGTTTTACTTAAAGCACTGTAGCCTGGATAAAATGTTTCTTTTTTATTGTTTGTGTTTATATTTGGTACATGTACAGAAAACTACTTTATGTACACTGATGTGTGGAAATGACTTTATGTGTGTGAATAAAATGGTTAGAGTTTTGTTGGCAGTGTGAGCAGTGTGAGCAGTGTGAGCAGTGTGAGCAGGGTGAGCAGGGTGAGCAGTGAGCAGCAGTGTGAGCAGTGTGAGCAGTGTGAGCAGTGTGAGCAGTGTGTGTGTGTGTGTGCATGTGCACGTGAGCGTGTGTGCGTGTGTGTGTGCGTGTGTGCGATGTCAAACTTTGGAGGCTCTTACTGTGAAAATCGTTTTTTTCAGTTTTATCCATAATTGTATGGTGTTAGTTTGACCTCTGTCATAGTGACAAAACATCTGAGTCATTTTGAGCTGCAGTGACACGAGGCCAAAGGGACAATGCATTTTGGCAGCAATGACTCTATGATAAAGGAGTTTAGTTTTGACACATGGGTAAAGTGTTTTGGGACAGATCTGAGCTTCTGCAGGTGATCCATGGTGTTGTGCTTAACAATCCAGGTTATTTTTGACAAAAGCACTAAGTGAATGCAAAAGAGCCAAAGCAACTGAGAAGGATCTCTGCAATTTTGATGGCACTGACTCTTTATATGGGAAAGAATCTAGTTTTGAAGCATGAGTGAATAGTTTTGGGAGAGATCTGAGCTTTTGTTGGTGAACTGTAATGTTGTACAGAGTTATCAGAGTGTTTGGCCAAATGATCTTATAGTTTTAAGAATGTCATTTCTGTTTCAAGAAATGAGCCAAACAAACAGAGAAAAACTGTATTTAGAATCTAACTTGACACTTTTCCTTTTAGCAAGTATTATTTTGTTTTGTTTAGACAGGAGTGCCCTCTGTGGGTGTGCGTGGTAATGTTGACACTTGTAGAGAAGAAACCATCTGTGAACTGATGAACTTTATTCTTATATATACAGATTCAATTTGTACATACATTCAAATTTGAAGATAATATAAAGCATAAATAAAAAACAGAATGAAGTAACTCTGGAACATAAGTAAAAATAAAGACATTCAACAAAAATTATTTTGTACACATTTTGAAGTTTTTTTTTTTTTTCCCAACACAGACAAACGGAACTAAGGCTACGTTCAGACTGCAGGGCTTAACGCTCAATTCAGATTTTTTTGTGAAATCCGATGTTTTTGCGAAGTCGTTCACATTCCCAATTAAATGCGACTTGTATGTGATCCCCAGTGTGAACAGTAATCGGCCTGAAAGTGTCCTGCATGTGCAATTGAGGACATGATGACGTCAACCGCAGCGAGCGTCTCTGTGTTTACAGAAGTTGTCCAAACATGGACGCAGCATTGAGCACCTGGAGCTTTTAAAGTTCCTCTCGTACCGGAGCCAGAACATGAACAACTTATGCCGGGCGTACACTGTGCGATATTGTCGGTCGTGTCACTCAGCCCCAGCTTAAACTGTACGACCAAATCACAGGGTTTAAAAGTTCACAGCTCACGAATCATGTTCTCACACTGAACGAACCGATGCTCGGATGCGACTTGCCTGCTCACACTGTACGTTCACATAACGACCGGAGTTGTCAAAGTTGTTGTTCCGGAAGTAGAAAACCACGAAGAAGAAAACCACGGAATTAGAAAACCACAGATGTGCGGAGACCCATGGCGGAGACACAATGCTGAGCCACTTCTGTGTCCGCGCATGCGCAGTCTGCCAGATTCTGGCAAATCGGCTCGTGGAACAACTTCAACAGAGCGAAATCCTCACGAGAGGCGACTGGATTTCAAACAAGTTTGATTTTCTTGCGACCTACGAATGTCGATCGGGTGCTGGTCGTGAGTCATTAATCGGTTTTCTTTACCCCATGTAAACTACACGAAGCACGACACATGATGAAGCCAAAACTCGGCCCGATCCCCAAAACAGTCGCACGAGCAAAAAAATCGGCTCAAAAAGGGTCAAAAATCGCACAGTGTACGCCCGGCCTTACTTGTTTTAAAGGAGGAGACTGAGAAGGAGAAGGACGAGGTTTTTGGCCGTGGTGTTTTGTGGGGCAGCGGCAGGGACGTCCGTTGAAAGGAACGTGTGGATGTGGAGACGGAGCCAAGAGTGGTGAGTGGTGATGTGCTTCACTTCAGTGACACGGAGTTCATTAACAATTTTCGCCTACTTCAGTGCAGAATAGTGACGTTTGTGGCTTGTTGATAATATGTAGGTCGCTTTGGCCGTTCAGATTGAAGTCACATGTCAAAACATCAGATATGTATCAGTTTCAGGAGCACATATCCAAGTGTCCTGGGTCACATTTGAAAAAAATCTGATCTGTGTCGTTCAGACTGTCATTAAAAGACCAGATACAGGTCACAAAGAAGCCAAAAAAAAATCAGATTTGGGTCACTTCAGGCTGCAGTCTGAACGCAGCCTAATTTATGCTACTGACACAACAGCAGGTTTATCTCTAAAAAGGATTGTAAATGTTCAATAAAGTTGCAAAAACACAATCCGCAATATTATGAATAGGATTTTTTAAAGAACAAAATAGCAGAAAAAACATCATGTAAAGCGGGTTAATATAAACATTTAAAGACCAAAATGACGAGGCTCACAGCAGCAGTTACAGAAAATAATCAATGTACTTAGATGTTGGTTCAGTGATTGTGTCAATGCCACGTATTATCGCTCGGCCCAGAGGAGAAATACGATTTTGATGTATCTTAGGTAACAAGTAAAAAGTAGCCGTTTTAGGGTGTGATGGCAAAAGATAATCACGTTCATTTTCAGAGAGCCATTTATTATTGAAAGCCTCGTCAATCAATCTTTTAAGCTCCTGTTTGACTGTCTCTCTAGGATTTACTGTAATGGGTATGTAATATCTGGTGCCATTTAATTGTCTGTGCTTCTTCAATGTACTGCCTCTTACCCCATACAACTGTAGCTCCCCCTTTATCCGCTTGTTTGATGATGATGTCTTCATTGTTCTTTAGCCAGTGGAGTGCCTCTTGTTCTCCTCGGCTCAAATTTGGTGTTTTCTTCTTCCTGTTGGAAATGAAAAGTTTCTCAACATCATGATCTGTTTTTCTGATAAACGCACTCAAACATGGGTTGTTAATAGGAAAAAAAGTGGACTTTATTTTGAATGGAGTATAGGGTTGAGTAATTGACGTTTCAGGTTTTTTATTATAGTACCAAGCCCTTAAATGTAAATTGCGGTCAACTCTGAATAAGTCTATCTTTGTATTAAAGAGGTTGGTATTATGTGTTGGTGCGTATGAAAGGCATTTAGCTGACACATTAGTAGTGTCTGTAGGGAGCGGGATACCTGATATATTGATCACGGTTTCTTGATTAGAGTCCAGTGCATCTGGGGTGGACGGAGTTGGTAATTGTCTGGGCGTCTTCTGCGATCTCCCCTGGCATATCTTCTTCTTCCCCTTTGGCGCTGATTTGTAACTTGATCTAAAAAAGGAGTCTCAGATGTGGACGGCAGCGGTTCGTCATCGTCCTGCCTTGCTGAAGTGCTGCTAGGCAAACTAAAGGAGATGGTGCGGGCTTTTCTCCTGTGGGAACAGGCTCATGCTGAGGGCCACAGGTAAGTCATGCCTTGTTACTAATCCAGTCGATCATGTTGGAACTTCTCTCCCTTATTTTTAGATAAAGTCTTAGTGTTTCAATATCTCCATGCAGTTTATTCATCACCTCTCTCTGTTCGTCATTCACCGGTGACCGGAGTTCCACATGCAGTTGTTCAGTTTCCTCACCTTTTCCGCAACTCCGTGTGTTGTTTCTTAAGCTCATCAATGAGTAAAAGCATGAGATCAAATGAACATTTGTTTAGCACGGCCTCCCATTTGGCCCGAAAATCCGAGTCGTCTTTTCCTAGTGAAGGGAACTTCTTTATGCGTAAGCCTCTTGGAATCCTGTTTTCTCTCCAGTAATCGGAGAGGGTTATGGCAGGAAGTTCCAAGCGTTTATCCTTATCTAGTAGTTTTTGTAGTCATGAAAGGTCGAGTGTGTCCCTGCGTCCAGGGTAATGTTGTCAAATAAAGAGTCTTTAAGAATTATTTCTGTTCCTTGTTCATGCGTAAAGAAAAGTGTGTTGCCCGTGGGTTGGGACATGACGAGTAGAGAGTCCAGATAACGTTCTAGCGCCAAAACAGAACGGAGCAACTCCAAAGGATGACTGGCCCAAGTCTTAGAAATAGAAATAACACAATTTTACACTACACTGGATCAAAAAAACTTACGCATACAGGTGCTCATCAAACCGGAGGGCTGGAGTCTCCTAAAATAGAAAAATGATGGCAGAGGCACTCTGGTTTGCGGTGAATTTATTAAAAGTCACGCTGACGCGTTTCGACTACTTGGTCTTCATCAGGGCTGATTGAGTGAGCAGCAGGTGAGACCATTTATAGGGGTCGCAACCCAGGACAGAGGCCACTGAATACCCGGGTATTTTTCATTACCTTTGTTTTGAAATCACTGGTGTTTTCTTCTTCTTGATGATCCATTGAAAATTATTTTTGAAGTGTGCTGGGTAATCTAAGGGATTATGTATCGTTGACTATACTCCAATCTATACAGAACAGTGTGATTTATCTGTTATGTTATGAATGGTATGTTGTCAGTATACTTGGATTAACATGCAAATGTTTTTGAAAAATTTGAAAAAATTTTTGTTTTTAACTATCACGTGTCCTGGGTATAATATAAAATGTTCACACAAACATAGTGTGACCACATTTTCAAGATTCTAAAGTGGGTTGGGATGTTTGGTGTAAATAAAATTGTGAAAAGAGCGTGTAACATTGTGGATTCTCGCGTCAGTCATAATCTGAGGGACTTGGTCATTTGCAAACACGATTTTGTGTATTTTGTCTAAACAAACGATAAATTATGTTCCTCTTTAGTGCTGGTAGGGAGCCGATTGTGATAGTCCTGTTTTAGTCCTGGTTTAGACTGATCTAAATGGGTCTAATAGTCTAATAATAATCGATCTAAACCATGTCAAAAATCGGTTGGTTGAGCGTCAAAAACAGGGACATGTGGGACAAATCAGTGCGTTTGTATAAATGTGCTGGGACAGGGGACACAGAGCTTAAACTGTCCGGGGTAAACGGGGACATGTGATCAGCCTGAAGTCGCTGCTGCTTCTCCGTCGTCAGCGCTGACTCCTCCGTCTCCATGGTGACCGCCCCAGTGTTGTCGCTCCAGTTCCAAGATGGCGGACGAGGAGAAGAGCGCTGAGGTGAGTGCGCCACTAAAGCCTCTTTTCTGCGGGCAAAACTGCGTGTTATGCGTAGACACGGCTCGGGGACACGCAGCGGCACAAACACACTGTACTGTTGTTTTTGTGTGTACATGTGGAGCCGTAGAGAGCCGAGCCGTGCCGTTGTAGCGCTAGCTGCTATGCTAAAGCGGTCTAAGTAGAGGATAAGTTGATTAACCTTCACGTTCTCCGCGGACAGCGCCGAGTCAGGCTCCTGGCGCTTTGTGCAAAACCAGGAACACGTCTTAATAATATTCCTAATGCAGCTGCAAATGAGCCTTGTGTCATCTGTGTGTCTGTCCTCGAATCAACAACAAAATGTGTTGAAAAAGTAAAAGGTGACAGCTCCACGCGCCTCTGCTGTTCTGTCCGCGCGCACTCATTCATCCCTCTAAAGATCTGTTCTAAAACCTAACGAGGACACATCCCATCAAGAGGCACGGGGAATGTTCTGTGTTTATGAAGAAAAATCATTATTGCAATAGCTGAAGTTTCCAGGTGATGGCGGTGCAGTTGTCACTTTATTTTAAGTTCCCTCCATAAACAGCATCTCACACGTGTCAGAGATCTGGCTTTGAATGAGCTAAGACCGAGAAAGTACATTTAGAATTTCAAATTTTGCAAGTAATACATTTTTTTCTCTGTGTCTGCCTGTCTCTACATGTCTGTCTGTGTCTGCATGTCTGTGTATCTGTCTCTCTCTCTCTCTACATGTCTGTCTGTCTCTACATGTCTGTCTGTCTGTCGTGTCTGTTTGTCTGTCTCTACGTGTCTGTCTGTGTCTGCATGTCTGTGTATCTGTCTGTCTCTCTCTACATGTCTGTTTGTCTGTGTCTGCATGTCTGTCTGTCTATCTGTCTCTACATGTCTGTTTGTCTGTGTCTGCATGTCTGTCTGTCTATCTGTCTCTACATGTCTGTTTGTCTGTCTCTACGTGTTTGTCTGTCTCTACGTGTCTGTTTGTCTGTCTCTACGTGTCTGTCTCTACGTGTCTGTACGTGTCTGTCTCTACGTGTCTGTTTGTCTGTCTCTACGTGTCTGTTTGTCTGTCTCTACGTGTCTGTTTGTCTGTCTCTACGTGTCTGTCTGTCTCTACGTGTCTGTCTCAACGTGTCTGTCTCTACGTGTCTGTCTCTACGTGTCTGTCTGTCTCTACGTGTCTGTCTCTACGTGTCTGTCTCTCTACGTGTCTGTCTGTCTCTACGTGTCTGTCTGTCTGTCTGTCTCTACGTGTCTGTCTGTCTCTGTCTGTCTGACGTGTCTGTCTGTCTGTCTCTACGTGTCTGTCTGTCTCTACGTGTCTGTCTCTACGTGTCTGTCTGTCTGTCTCTACGTGTCTGTCTGTCTCTACGTGTCTGTCTGTCTGTCTCTACGTGTCTGTCTCTACGTGTCTGTCTCTACGTGTCTGTCTCTACGTGTCTGTTGTCTGTCTCTACGTGTCTGTCTGTCTCTACGTGTCTGTTTGTCTCTACGTGTCTGTCTCTACGTGTCTGTTTGTCTGTCTCTACGTGTCTGTTTGTCTGTCTCTACGTGTCTGTTTGTCTGTCTCTACGTGTCTGTCTGTCTGTCTGTCTGTCTCTACGTGTCTGTCTGTCTGTTTCTACGTGTCTATTTGTCTGTGTCTATGTGTCTGTCTTTCTCTACATGTCCATCTGTCTGTGTCTACGTGTCTGTTTGTCTGTCTCTACATATGCTGAACCTTCACAGGTGAGTGGTGGGTGGAACCAGAGGTGAGGGTGGTGCCACATTCTCCGTCCAGCTCCAGACACACAAGACACAGAGGGGAGGGGAAGACGGCCCAAGGGAAAAAAAAAATCCTAACACTGGCTCAGAACCAGCACTGACACCAGCTTATAAAATAGATACATACTTTTTTGATCCTGAAAGAAATCAAGGGGAAGACTTTTAAAACTAACATGTCACAAAACACAAATATATGAGGTCTATACGTTCTCTACAGATTAACTAATTGTTATTTAATTATGAGTGAGATGGTGATTAGGATCTTTGCCTTTATCAAGCAGCCCCACGTGAAATAGAACCATGAGACTCTACAGAATCTTGATATAGAATCCTGAACATAGGCAGTTGTTGTTCAATGTTTCACTGATGTAACTGTCATGTTTGTGCTTCTCTAGCCTCCTGTTACTGCTGAGCCCAAGAAAAGACGTGCCCCTAAAGGTAAGATAAAGAGCACTCAGCGCAACGGAAATATTATACTGTTATAATATTATCCTAAATACACGATTGGACACATTTTCTGCTTTTATTTCCATGATTATTGTGTCAAAACTATGAATGAAACATACTAGGCCCATGGACTGTAGTGAACAAAAATACACTCAAAATAACTCCAAACTTGTTTTAGATTAAAAACCGTAAAAATATCTTTTTCCCTTTGCTTTGATCACATCTTTGGGCTCTTGTTGATGTTTCCTGACCCAGATGAGGCACGGTTGCACCATTTCAGAAGACTTCATCATGAAACTCACTGAGAGAGGACAAGGGTTTGCAGCGCTGTCGACAAAGCAAAGGGTGGATACTTTGAGGATTTGAATATGAAATAAAAAATATATATATTTAGTTCAATCATTTAGTATTTTTTCTTTGCTGCATAATTCCATATATCTTACTTCATATATTTGATATCTTTTGTGTAAGTAGAAAGAAGTAAACATAATGAAGGTGTGTTCAAACGTTCGACTGTGCGTGTTTGTGTGTGTACATCAAAATCCTGCACAAAGACCTACTAGTAAATACAGGGTGTACCAAAAAATTTGACATCATTTTGCAGGTGTTTTTTGAAGAGAAATTCCCTCACACTGTCTCACTCTTGATTATTCTTTTATCAGTACGACGTTTCAGTCCCTCAGACCTTCCTCATCTATCAGAACCTGAACCGTGAACCATGAAATAACCTCAAATGTTCTCAAAATGTATAGAAAATGATAAAGATTTTCTATTCGCTGTCTTATTTTTGTTGTGTTTTCAAGTTGAGCCTTTCCGTTCACTCCCAAAGAGAAGTCATTTTGTGTCTTGGAATCTGCTCGCACACATTTGTAATCCTTTAGTCCTGCACAATCAGCCTTCATCTTTAAATCCAAATTTGTTTGCCAGTTAGTGAAGTTTTGTCCAAATTTTACATTAATGAAGGGTTATTATAAAATAAAATTGTGAAAAGAGTGTGTAACATTGCAGATTCTCGCGTCAGTCATAATCTGAGGGACTTCTGACGCTGCTTTTTTTGTTTTGCTTTATTGTCATTTGCCGACATTATTTTCTGTATTTTAATGAAACAAATGATAATTTATGCTCCTGTTTAGTGTGGGTAGGGATCTGATGAGTCAAAAAATTGTGTATAGTCCTGTTTTAGTCCTGTTTTAGACCTGACTAATATAGTTCTGGTTTAGACATGATGTAGTCCCGGTTTAGTCCTGGTTTAGTCTTAGTTTAGTCCTGGTTTAGTCTTAATTTAGTCCTGGTTTAGACCTGATATAGTCCTGATTTAGTCTTAGTTTAGTCCTGGTTTAGACCTGATATAGTCCTGGTTTAGTCTTAGTTTAGACCTGATACAGTCCTGGTTTAGTCTTAGTTTAAACTTAGTTTAGACCTGATATAGTCCTGGTTTAGTCTTAGTTTAGTCCCGGTTTAGACCTGATATAGTCTTAGTTTAGTGGTTTAGAAATGATATAGTCCTGGTTTAGTCTTACTTTAGTCCTGGTTTAGACCTGATATAGTCCTGGTTTATTCTTAGTTTAGTCCTTGTTTAGACCTGATATAGTCCTGGTTTAGTCTTAGTTTAGTCCTGGTTTAGACTTGATATAGTCTTAGTTTAGTGGTTTAGAAATGATATAGTCCTGGTTTAGATTAAATTGGTCATAAATAGGGACATCTCGGACATTTCTTGTATAAAACTGGGACAAATCACTGGTTTTGTATAAATGCTGCACAATCTTGGGTGAGTGGGTGTGAGCAGATTCCAAGACGCAAAATGACTTCTCTTTGGGAGTGAAGAGCTCAACCTGAAAACAGAACAAAAATAAAAAACTCAATATAAAATCTTGATCTGTTTCTGTACATTCTGTGAAAATTTGAGGTTATTTCAACAAGAATTGCCAAAATGATGTCACATTTTTTGGGACACCTTCTATGAAACTCCTGCCATAGTAGAGTTTGTCCTGCAGAGGTCGCTCTTACTCTTCCACAAGCTCTTCATTAATGACAGCTCCAGTCAAGATGAACCTAATGACCCTTTTAGCAGCTTAAATATGGCGAAGGACTAAATTAATGACGAGCGAAACTGACAAAAATATAATTACTTAATATAATTATTTTTCATGTTTATTTGATTTTCTATTTGTATTATCCTGATGACAGTACTCAGGTGATTTAAAGGTGCATTGACTAACTTTTCTGATGGAGGATCTGTCAAATACTTTCTCCGTGGAGATGTTTTAGTTACAGGTCAGATCTGTGGAGGAGGAGACCCCGCTCACAGTCAGAATGTCTGTTTTTCTAGGAATTTTTGAGCTATAAACCTGTAATTGAATACATGTAAGGTAGAGCTGTTTAATGTCACACTGTGGAACATTCCAGGCAGAGCATTAACATCTCCATAGAAACACACAGGTGATGCACCCTGCTAACCAAAAAGTTACACAGTGCACCTTTGAGGCTCGTAAAGGTTTTAGTTTGAGATTTTTTTTAAAAAGATTTTTTGTAAATACTTACTTCCTTTTATACTTAAAGGTGCATCATGTAACTTTGTAACTTTATGGTTGGGATTCTGTCACCTTTTCCTGTTTTCACTTTTTGGGCTATATCCCTTTTTTTTTTTCTTCTTTTTTTCGGTAATTCCACTCATTGCCGGAAACTAAACCAGGTCTAAACTAGATCTAAACCAGGACTAAACCAGGACTAAACCAGCACTAAACCAGCACTAAACCAGCACTAAACCAGGACTAAACCAGACTAAACCAGCACTAAACCAGGACTAAACCAGGACTAAACCAGGACTAAACCAGGACTAAACCAGGACTAAACCATGCTGCGTGGACGTGTCTCTTCTTCTATCAATAATATTTTTAATACGGTTCAGTAAAGTCTGGGCTTTTTATTTTCTTTTATCAGACAAAACATTTTATGTTACTATATCCTCATCTTTGCTTCTCTACAGCAAATCAAGTAATCCAAAGTATTCAGATTAGGGATGGGCATGATTAATCGATTAATCGATAATTGATCATTAAGAATTTCATCGATTACGTTAATTTTAATCGACAAACCGAATGTAGGTTGCTGTGCGTAATGTGACCAAACAGGTCTGTACATGTGTCTCTCTGCACTCAGAAGGAGCGAGACACAAACACAAACAGTGGGTCAGTCTGCAGCGTACCGAAGCACAAATGCGTATTTAACGATGATTTGTACAAGAAATTCCACGCTTTCCGTTGAGTTTGGGACAAGTGTGAGTCCATGTGCACAGTGTACAAAGCAGGAACATATGTTTCGGTGTCCAGTGGAAAAAAGCTTTACCAGGTGAGAGTCGCTCAATGTCAATGACGAGTCCCCACCTCCTACCTCCCGTACGGTGTCCTGGTTTTGACAAACGCAAATCTGGTCACTAACCTGTATTCCACTGAGTCATGTCTTTTAATCCGACAGAAACTGACCGCATCAGCGACACAAGAGCTGTAGTTTTATCTTCGCTGAGTTTATGCAAATTAGCGATGTGGTTTGAAGTTTTGTTTCTGTGAGAGTTGCGCAAAACTGAATCAAACACATTATAATGTCAAACGGGCTGATGTGGCTCTAGAGTCGTTATGGTTTATATGTCATAAAGTTGAATTTATTTATGCAGATTAGTAGTGCAGATAGTAATAATAACGATGATCATTTTAATATAAAAACGTTAATGATTAATCGATAATCGATTGTTAATTCTTCCGACGATCGATTAAGAAAATTTCATCGAATGCCCATCCCTAATTCAGATTATGTTACTCACTTTAAATAATTTAATGGATTACGTTACAAAGTACATTTTGGTGTATGTAATCTGTAATCTGTAGGGGAATACATTTTAAAAGTAACCTTCCCAACAATGACTATGGATATGTCATTGCTCAGCCTGAAATGTCCCACAGTGTGACATTAAGCAGCTCTACCTTGCATTTATTTAATTACAGGTGGATTTATAGCTCAAAAATAACTAGAAAAACAGACATTGTGGCCGTGAGTGGGGTCATCTCTCTGACCTACAGATCTGACCTGTAACTTGGTCTGGTTTGGTTTCCATGATGATAGAAAATTTCAATGCTAAGTTACACAATGCACAATTTCTCCCATAGCAGATCGTCTTTTACCAGATTTTTTTATTTTTATTTTTCAAAGGACATGACATGAGTTTAGGGGAGACTGCTTGAAAGGATTTGTCTCCTCGTGTTTTAAAGCTTGTCCAGCGTTAGCAAATTTTGGCTGGTAGAGCTCAGGTTATGGGCAGAGGTGTATGGTTTATCAGGTGTGAGATATCAGCAGGAGCCTGGCCGTGTAGGGTTCTAAAGGTCAGCAAAAGGACCTTGAAGTAGACATGAAAAAGAACAGGAAGCCAATGTAAGGATTTTAAGATGGGAGTGATATGACGTCTCCTACTGGTGCGGGTCAGGAGCCTTGTGGCAGAGGTTTGGACCATCTGCGGGACAAACTCTACAGTGGAGTAAGAAGAGCTTGGAGCGACAGTAGGTCAGTTGGTTGGTTGAGTGTTTATCCTCCGATCTGAAGGTTGGCGGTTTGAATCCTGCTCTCGACATAAACATCACTGGTAGGGATGGGCATTCGATAAAATTTTCTTAACCGATCGTTGAGAGAATTAACGATCGATTATTGATTAAGCATTAACGTTTTTATATTAAAATTATCATCATTATTACTATCTGCACTACTAATCTGCATATATAAATTCAACTTTACAACATATAAATTGTAACCACTCTAGAGCCACATCAATCCGTTTGACATTAGAATGTGTTTAATGCAGCTTTGCGCAACTCTCACAGAAACCAAACTTAAAACCACATGGCTAATTTGCATAAATTAAGCGAAGAAAAAAAAAACAGCTCTTGTGCACTGATGTGGCACGACTCAGTGGAATACAGGCTAGTGTGACCGTATTTGCTTTTGTC